AACGTAAAATAAAAACACTAAAGAGCATCTAATTTCTAGCCATTAGCACCGTGCCTCATTCCTTTTTATCTTCCCAATGCTCTCATCCTACACAACTCCAAAGTCCACTTATTGCAATTTAGATTTCTCTAAATTGCTTGATATATACTGTGTGATTTCTTTTGTAACCAAACAAAGCTCTTGATTTTTTACTGTCAGGCTAAAATAGCTTAAAATTAATTCACTAGAGATGGATGATGTGATGGTTATACAACAGCGTGAATGTACTTAATGTCCCTCGACAGGACACTTAAAAATTGTTAAGGCCAGGCACAGTGGCTCATGCCTGTAATCTCAGCATTTGGGAAGGCTGAAGTGGGAGGATTGCTTTAGCTTAGGAGTTCACAACCAGCCTGGGCAACATAAAAACAACAACAACAAAATATATATGTATCTGTATGCATGTATGTGCATGCATATATATAAAGTAGTTAATTTGACATATATTTTACCACCAAAAAAGAAAAATAGCACTCAATTTACAAATTGTAAACATCACTTCTGCCTTACTAAATCATAAAAGAGCTTGTAGAAACTACTTTCTGCCGACCTCCTGTATTTATTCAATATTTTTTGTTTGTTTTTGAGATAGGATCTCACTCTCACCCAGGCCAGAGTATAGTGGCATGATCATGGCTCACTGCAACCTGTACCTACTGGGCTCAAGTGATTTTCCTATCTCCACCTCCCAAATATCTGCAACTACAGGTATGCCACGACATCTAGCTGGGTTTTTCTCTTTTTTTCTGTAGAGACGAGTGTCTCACTATGTTGCCCAGGCTGGTCCTGAACTTCTGAGCTAAAGCGATCCTCCTGCTCAGCCTCCAAAAATGCTGGGATTATATGCATGAGCCATCATGCCCAGCCTAGTACTTTTTTTTTAATAGTAAACTCACTAGCCTAGTTTAAACTGTCTTCACTTTGAGCCTAGAATACTACTGCACTCCTAACTTTTTCTGTTCTAGCCCATCTTCACAGAACCAACAGAATAATCTTCCATGGTAAACCTCTGCAAATCTCCCTCCTCCACAAATCTCAGTATCTCAAATCTATTAGTATTTAAGACTTCCATCTCATTTCTCAAAACAGCCTACTTATCTGTCTATGTTGAAAACATTACTTTTTTTTTTTTTTTTTTTTTTGAGAATCTCATTCTGTTGTCCAGGCTGGAGTGCAGTGGCACCATCTCAGCTCACTGCAACCTCAGCCTCCTGGGTTCAAGCAATTCTCCTGCCCCAGCTTCCCAAATAGCTGAGACTACAGGCATGCACCATCATGCCTGGCTAATTTTTGTAATTTTAGTAGAAACAGGGTTTCAACATGTTGGCCAGGCTGGTCTCAAAGACCTCTGAAAACATTACATTCTAATTATAGCAAATTTATAAAATATTTTTTTTATTCCTCAAGGACCTAGAAATAGAAATTCCATTTGACCCAGCAATCCCATTACTGGGTATATATCCAAAGGATTACAAATCGTTCTACTATAAGGACACGTGCACATGAATGTTCATGGCAGCACTGTTTACAATAGCAAAGACCTGGAACCAACCCAAATGCCCATCGACAATAGACTGGATAGGGAAAATGT